GGGACCCCCTGACGGTCCCTTGTGAGGCGCGCGATGTCGACCGCCGCGCGCGGGCGGCCCTCCGCGCCGGGGATCTCCCCCACGCTGGGCGCCTGCTCTGCGCCCTGGGGGGGCTTTTTTACGCGTACGGGAACCTCGAGCGCGCGGTGGGGGCGATCGGGCGCGGGTTGGGCGTCTTCGAGAGCCTCGCGGACCCCCGCGGCGTCGCCTTCTGCCACAACCTCCTCGGCGTCTGCTACTTCGAACTCGGGGAGTATAAGATGGCGCTGCTGCACCACCGCGCGCAGGAGCCCCTCGGCGCCGACTACGCGCGCGCCGTCGCGCAGATGAACCTCGCGGTCGGCTACCTCGCCCTTGGCGAGCTCGCGTTCGCGGAGCGGGCGCTGCAGGACGCCCTCGCGGGCGCCCGCACGGCGAAGGCCACGACGTTGGAAACAATCGCGCTTGGGAATCTCGGGGTCGTGGCGCTACGGATGGGGAACATGCACGCCGCGCAGGCGAGCCTCGAGCAGGCCCTTGAGCAGTGCAGCCTCGCCGGGGATAAGAGCGGCGCGGCGATCTGTCTCCTCCTGCTAGGGGAGATTTATCTCGGCATCAACGACTACCCGCACGCGCTTTTTTACTTCGAGCACGCCCTGCGGCTTGGCGGGGAGTCCGAGATTTCCGATATCGTCGCGGTCGCGCGCGTGAATATCGGCATCACGAAGGGGAATGCGGCGATGCGAGGTTGCGTCGCGGGGCATGCGCGCGCGATGGGGCATGAAATTGATATTGAAACCATTATCAGTGTGCTTCCTCGCTAAACACACTAAATGATACGCCTTCTTTTCTGTCAAGACGGTGAACAAGGAAGGGAGGGAGAAGAAGAAGCTTCAGCTTACTGGTTGCTATTCGGTGTGTCGGCTATCCGTTCTCTATAAACGCCTGAGGATTGTAATGTATAGTAGTAGGGAAAGGTTTATGTACTTTTGGGTTCATATCTATTCGTGAATCATGATTTTATTTTCCAATTGGTATGTGAGCAAATCAATGAAAACGAAACGATCCACGTGTATGTTTCACTTTTTATTTTATTTTCATATCCCCCCCCCCCTCTTTTACCCTAACGCGTCAACGAATCGCTCAAATTTTTATTGGATTAAAAAAGCATCTCGGTTCAGCGTTTTCGTATTGAGAGGCGAAAAAAACTCGGTGACGAATTACCACAAGGGAAGACGAATATTTATATGCGTCCAGTACGATTAGCCTCTTTGGTGGCACGCTGCTGCACGCCAATCTACAACACTCGTGATGAGGTGCAGCGGACGGTCGCCGCGCTGGTGGAATTGTCATCCTATTGTAGCATCAGCGCTGAAGTCAGCGAGCTTTACACTCCTCTGCGAAGAATTTTAAGTCGAGATCCAAACTTGGCTGCACCACTTTTACTTGAACAACAAAATGATGCCGAACGCGGAGATTCGTTCTTCGCATTAGAAAATGGTGGGAAGTCTTTGGCGTTCTTGCTACGGGCCCTTCCCTCACGAGTAATCGGAGATGTCGGGCAAGAACCTTCCCTAGTCCAATCCCTCGCTCAGCATACCATCCGCGGTCTGGAGCAAAATTTATGGCCTGTTCAAGATGTCAAATCCCTTCTACTCGATTTCCAAAAGAAGGGGGGGTATGACCATAGCCTCATCTCCGCCGTCGAGGCATATGCCTCGCTCAAGCTGGCGTCGGCGACGGCGTCCGACTTTGTTGATATCCTTTCGATCGCGTTTACGTTTCCGGAGTTGCGTTCAAAAGGGAGTCTACTTCGGAAAGCGTCGGTGCGTGCGCTAGATCTTGTGAATAAAATAAGCGCCGATGAGGTGGGCCGCGTGGGGGCCATTTTCAACCGGTGCCATCACCGCCACGACGCCCTCGCGAGTCTTTTTCATGAGCAAAGTAACCGGGTGATCGAGGAAAGCACCGATGGATCCGCCTCGCTGCAGCTTTTCGGATTCCTCTGCCGCCACGAGGTTTCGCGTGAGTTCGCGGACACCCTCCAGTGCTTTCTTGAGCGTATTCTAGGGGATGCGCTGTTCGACGTGGAGTCGTTTGTGTTGCTGTGTGAGTCCCTCGCCCGGATCCCATCCCGCATCCGCGCGAAGGAGATGGCGCAGGCGATGGAGGATACCCTCGACTACCTCGGCGACGCGGTCGCCCAACTGCTCGCCCGACCCCGCGCCGAGGGCGGCCTTCAGGACGAGGAATCGGTCGAGACGATCGAGCAAATTTTTCCTGGCGTTTCTCCGTTTGATTCCCCCGACGGCGGCCGCCGCAGGGGCGGGGGAAATCCACCCACGACCCCCACTCGAGGCGGCCCTGCTCGCCTGCACCACGTACCTCGACGAACGAGTTGATTGGTTGATGGAGTCGGAGATTCCGCCGCTTCGGTTGATTTCTTTGCTGCTCGGCGCGTCCTTCGCGCCCGCGCAGCGATGCGGCCTCGCGCTCGTGAAGGAGGCCGCGAAGCAGCACCTGCAGCTTCCCACCCTGCAAGCCTTCGAATGGCTGTTGTTGGCCGGGGATCGTGAACTGAAGGATCGGGAGGTGATTCGATTCCTACGCAACGAGTTCGCCAAATCGAACGCGGACATCCCACCGGTGCAATTCTGCACCGCACTGAGAAGTCTCTACCGTGGCGGGGCCGCCCGCGCGAGCGACGAACCCCCTGACACCCCCAATCAAACGACCCCAATCGGCCTCGAGAAGGCTCAACTGGAAGATAAGATCTTCGAAGTGATCGATCACGAGGAGATGCGCGCCTTCCTTGAATGTTGCACCGAAAAGGTCCGCGTCTATTTCTCAAGCGGGCTCACCTTGCAGTGCGGGATGGCGATCGCGGAGGCGCTCTACCTGCTGGGTTGTCGAGATGATGCGTTTTACGCGAAATTCGCGGCCTTCGTGAAGACGAAGCGGCGGCGCGCATCCCCGTCGATGCATAGCGCGGACGCCGCCAAAGTCATCTGCCTCGCCTTGGGTGAGGACCTCCTCGATGCGTCCCCCGACGTGCATCAATTCTTGCTGGAAGTCGAGGCGAGTGGGGTGGCAGGAGAATCGAGGCTCTCGCCCACGGAGTGGATGAATCGGCACGACCCCGCCAACTTCATCGCCCCCCTCACAGAAGAGCAACAAGAAGGGTGGGATGTTATCGAGAAGATGGTGCGAACACGATCGGACGACCGAGATTCCCTAATCGAGCTCGCCACGCGGTATATTCACCTGCTGGAAACCTCACGTCCGGATGATCTGAAGTATTTCTTCGGCGTGTTCGAGGAAAAAGTCCTAAAGGAGGATCGCGTGCTGAAGGACTGCCTCGAAAGCCTGCTGAGGACGCAAATCGTGAGCCGGCTGTCCGCCACCACAATCGCGGGGATTCTACACAGCCTCGCCGCGCTACGATTCGCATATACGAAAACGGTGAAGCAATTCTTATCCGGCGTGACCGCCGAGCAGTGGGCGGAGATGGACGCGCCGCCGCTCGTGCAGATCCTCGCGGCGATGTCGACGATGTCGTTGCGAATCCCCGCCGTGCTCGCCGCGATGGGCGAACGGTTGTTGGAGCTCAGCCCTTTTCTCTCGCCGCACGATACCGCGGCGGCGATTCGCGGCCTGCAGGCCCTCAGCTTCCCCGACGAGGCCGTTCTGACGGCCTTGATTCGACACGCCGCGTCGTGCGCGGGCCGCTTCGACGAGGCGAGCATGGTCTTGTTATTCACCGCCCCGTCCATCCATAGGCTTTTACGCCCCCCGGAGGTCGCTGGACCGCTGCTGAAGAACGCGGCTGCCAAGATCGGCTCCTTACCCCTACGCCAGCGGATCGCCGGGGTGATTCAAAAGGCGGGTTTACCAAGGCAGTTAATGGAGACGTCAAAGGCTCAGCTTGGGATTGAGGACCGCCGCCCAAGTGGCGTCCCGTTGAGGCTGACGTGAGGGATGGGTTTCGGCGGTTCGGCCTTCCCCGAATGGGTATTGGAAAGCAAATCGAATAACCCCAATAATGCCGCTCAACGGGCTTACGTTGGGTAGACAGGACGACATGAAAAATTCATGTGTGTGTGTGTGTGTTTGTGTGTTATTGGTATGTGGCCTATCACTTGGGGGTGTTTTTTTGTGAACCCAGAAAAAAAGATCCGGCTTTCCTTCAAATCCTATTTCAGGTGTAGATTCAAAAATTATAATCCTTAAAGATCCTTTTCCTCCTTGATTACCCCTATCCAAGTGACTAAAGAAGCTCCCTCTTTTACATCCGCAGAACGGTTACTAAATACAAT